TTCCCGTTTATGAATTTCTAAGACTGTGATATTTTAAGAAATACGACTTATTTTACACTGTGAGAAAAGCACTGAATTTTGATTTGAATATCCTATGGAAAACTTTATCTAGCGACATCTGTAAGTCCGAGTGAATTATCAATACCCTGACTAATGCGATATTGGTGATGGACAAACCATAGAAAATACAACCTGGTCATTTCCAGTCACTAAGTTCAGTACAGGCCTAGGTCTCACGCTGAATATTCAGCGTGTCATGTGCAGGTTAATAATGAAGCACTTTCGAGAATCCTAATTGTGTGAAAATCCTCGCATAATATTTGTATGAGGAGCTTAGTCATCTCTCATAATTGAATAATCTGATGAGAGTCGATATCAAGAATTGATTGCTTCCTTGCCGTAAAAAGAAGGATATTTGCTATTGATAATCTTCCCTGAAACTGAATGGATAGTATCACCAATTAGGTATCACAAGTTCGGGTGCAACATTCCAACAAACAGCTTGTTATAAGAATAAAACTTGTGCACTGTGGTAGCATATAATTCCATTATGGGTAAATTTTTGTTTTGATAAAGTCACAGTGTTATACAGTAATGTTTACTGATGACGTTTCGAGCACAATTTATAGCTCATTATCATACCAAGGTACTCACACGACTTCCTAACTTCATTTAAATAGTTCCATTATTTTTCACTTGATTTGATTGGTAGTAGTATTTTCCATATTTCAGGTGTGAGTGATGAATCATTCCTGTTGCATGTGTTTGGTGTAGACTCGATGAACAAGGATTCAGTAATCAACCCGTTTCTCCACCTACCTAGATGTCCAATCAATGAAACTATTGAGATCATTTGTCAGTAGTCCGATCTTCTCCCACTCCCAGAATCGGAATTCAAACGCCTACTGCTTATGTGTACCATGGATGTGCAATTTCAATTTGACAACACGTTTTACCGCCAAATAGATGGTGTAGCTATGGAAAGTCCACTTAGCCCTGTTCTAGCAGATATATTCATGTCAAACCTTGAAAGAACTAAGTTGAAACATGCAATCGACGAAACATTTTCCTACTGTCGTTATGTTGATGACACATTTATAGTGTGCAAAAATGAAAGTCATGCTTCACGCTTACTAAGATTATTCAATGGTGCACACGCCAATATTGAGTTCACTATGGAACACGAAAGTGACGGAAAGTTTCACTTCCTCGACATCGCCATGGAACGCCTAGAAGACGGTAGTCTTCAAAAGTCAATTTATCGAAAGCCCACATGGAAAGGACAATACTTGCATTTTAACAGCTTTTGTCCAAATAGCTTTAAACGGGGTCTAGTCAAGACTCTGTGCTATAGAGCGGGGAGAATATGCTCTATAGAGAAACTAGAGGAGGAATTTGAGTTCCTTGAAAATATATTGAAGAGAAATAGGTATCCTCGAAGATTCATCAACAAGTATGGAAGATCTGAAGTCACAAATGCCAAACAAATCACAGTGGGTAAAAAGCCAGTCTACGTTCAGCTTGATTATAAAGGTGAAAACATTGCAGCGATGATCAACAGAAGGCTGAGTACATCACTAGCCATAGCCTATCCTACAGCTAAGCTCGTTCCCGTCTATCGAACAACTTGCTCTTTGGTGCAATCAAAAATCGATAGATATCCTTCTCATGTTACCTCCAACTGTATATACAAATTTACATGTATCTGCGGGAGCAGTTACATTGGAAGGACAGAAAGAAGGGCATATCTACGATTTTCTGAACATGTACCAAAAAGCTTACGTCTAAAGGGAACAAATGCTTTAAACAGTGCCATCGCCAGGCATCTCCTCGACACGGGTCATGAGGTGGACGTCGAAAAGTCGTTCAAAATTATCAATAGGCAAAAGAGCTCAATTCTCCTTAAGTTTGCTGAAGCGATTTCTATCAAACGCTTGAAACCAGATCTATGTGTTCAGAAAGAAGCAGTTATTAGTCTTTCCTTGCCTTGGTAACTGGATGCCTTTTTTTTCTCTCATCTGATTACGTAATCTTTGTCTTTAACCTCACCCTCCCTTTTATAATCTGTAATTTTGCTTGTCTCTTGTTTCTATGATTTGAGCTCAACTCAGTACATTGTTACCTAACTTACTAGTCACTATGCATCTAACGCACATCTCATCTTTATTATGTAACTCCTTTACCATTTTCTGCATACATTTATTTTGTTTTAACTTGAACTGCCTGTGTAAAAACTATATAAGCGCAATTTTCTGAGCACTGTTTACTAATTGTGGAAATTTCTGTCAACTGACAACATGTAAAATTTGCAAGTATGTTAAAACATGTCTGTACTTAAACCTCATAATTTATTTAGCCTGTGGGTAGCTGATGAGAAGCCAACGAAATAAATGATGGTACCATATTATTCTGCTAAAACGCATTGCAATTGCTGAGCTTTTTTCTAAATTACTTATCTTTTCTTACCTTAGCTAAATTCTTATGTTCCGACAATCTGACTAGCCCTAACCTACTAGTTTGACCTATGTAGTTGATCTAACTCATAGTCATTGCAGGGTATTTTTTAAATTATATAATTTTGTCTAATTGATTTAACTGGGTCCTTTAACCTACACAGCTTGCCCCTGAATGAGTTTGTAGGTTTTGAAAAGACTAGCTGTCTTTGATCATAGGTGCCTGCGTTCTATCTCCCGTGTGAAGTGGCATAATAAGGTGAGCAATATTGAGGTTAGGCGTCGAGTTCTAGGTAAACAGGGGAAATCAATCGACGAAGTTGTAAAGTTACAAAGACTGAGATGGTTAGGACATGTGTTACACATCCCTGACTAGTCATCGCCTTCCTCGACTGACGGGCAATGTTAGCTGATATAGGGTCAGGCTGGAAAAGAGCTAGCGGAGGTCAAACAAAAACATGGCACCAGTCAATGAAATCTACAACAGTTAGTATAAGCCACGTAGGAAGGTGTAGACTTCCTGACCGGTTGGGGTCCTCGGGACGGTAAAAACCAATGGTTGGAAACAATTGGTGACGTGGCTCAAAATCGTTCTCAGTGGCTAGCGCAGATGCATCCACTCCTTGTGACTTATGATCTCCAATGAAACTGTTTTGTTTTTCTTTATTACTCTTCCTTTGTCTCACACCTCTGCTCACTGTTTCTACTAAGCTTTTCTTGTACTTTCTTCTGTTGCTGGCTTCGCGTGCTACACGGAGTGTGGCGACTTGAACATATGTCGCACATTTGTGCAAAGTTCTATGTCGAAAACAGACAGACAGACAGGTTTGAATGTCACCCTAACTCCTGCTTTACTCAGAATCCTACGTAGTGTCTCAGATGTCCCCTCCTTATATGGCATAACAGTGGATGACTTATATTCTCTCTTATTTATGTTATCATTACTAGTTCCACAATTACTTTTATTTTGTTTTTGGCCTTTACTGATCTTCCTAATGAATTTTATAGGATAATTATTCAACACCAAACGCTTCTTCTATCTGTTTTATTTCGTCATTTACGTCTTTTCTTGTGCTACCTAATGCTATGGCTCGGTTGGTTAGACACTTCACTAAGCCTGCCTTAACAGTTAACGGATGAGACGAATTAAAGTCAAATATCTATTAGAATGCGTTGGTTTTCCATAAACACTAGTGTGTAGTTTACCTTCTTCTATTCGTTTTATTTTACAATCTAACATAGCTAATTCTCCTTGTTCATTTTCTGATTTAAGTGTGAATTTTATTCCCTCTACTTGTGAGTTTATATGCGTCAAAAAGCTAGAGATTGTTTTGTTTTTAACACTGTGAAAGTATCATCCATATATCTCCACCATATTTTTGGAATAGGATTAAATGTATTAAGAGCCATATTTTCCCAGCTGTCCATAAATATGTCTGCTACGACAGGAGATATTGGTGATCCCATTGCTACACCTTCTGTATGTCTAAATATTTTGCCTTGGAATTTAAAGATAGTAGATGTGAGGCATAACTGAATCCCTAAAATAATTTCTTCAATGGGCAGCTTTATCCTATGATTGAGTTCATGATCTGCAGTTAATCCCTTTTTAACTGCTTTTAAGGCCATATTAGCTGGTACATTAGTATAAAGACTAGTTATATCAAAACTAACCATTGTTTCATCAGTCTCTAGTTGAATGTCGTTTAGTTTATTTTTCATCTCATATGAATTAGTTAGTCTAGAGTTTGAACGATTTCTAATGGGGCATAATATTAGAGCTAAGTATTTTGATAATTCATAAGTAGGGGTATTTCTAAAATCTACTATGGGTCGTATGTGGTAACCTGGCTTATGTATTTTAATAGTACCATATATTCTACTAGCATAATTAGTTTTAGGCAATAAATTAAACCATTTTGACTCACCCAGTGACGGGGTGAATTTTCTGTCTGTATGTTTTCAACATACACCGGTGTGCAGCAGTTCAAGTTGCCACACTCCATGTAGCACACAAAGCGAGAGAAGATATGCAAAACTGAGATAGTAGATAGGGATATGAGACAAACTAAATAGTAATAACGAAGAAGAATATAGTTCCATTGGAAATTACAAGTCACAAGGAGTGGATGCAACTGCGCCACTTCGCTTTTGTCGCCCACCACTGTTCACGGTCGTTACGAAGACTTCTTGTTTACATTTTTATAAAAGCATAATACTGAACGATTGACTCATTGATTTCACTGACTTACTACTAATAAAATTAGTAAAATGTGTCGACCGATTTTTACGCCTGTGCATTGAAGTTTCTGTAGCTATTAGGTTGATTATTCGATGTAAGGTCGCTAGCCCCACACTCATTCCTCTCTTTTCTACCCAGCTAGTTAACTGGGCAAGGTAAGGAGATGACAGCTTAAGGGTAATCGTGGAGCCAGGTGAAGAGGACTATGGAGAACAAGATGGAATGGAGATGTGCTGCTGCTGCCCTCAGAACTTAGGGAAATAAAACTTCAACTTATGATAACTATTAGGAAATAATTCTCTAATTACTTCTTGAAATGAATTATTACAGTGTAGTCAAAGATCTTTCATGTCACAAAAATAATAAAAGACAGCGATTTACAATGAAGTACACATAATTTTTAGAAAATGTAAAAAAATCCAGTATGCGTTCACAGACAGTATTTAATGAAAATGGAGTTATTTTGAATAAGTAAAAAAGAGAAAACAATACATCTGATGAGTAATCTTTAAATGCACCTATACGCAGCGCAGAATAAAAATAATACGTCAGTTAAAAAATACATTAAAAAATATACGTATAAATATATATGTAAACATAAAATGTTAACAAGAAAATGCACGAACATTAAGAAAACTGTATTGAAGACAAGAATCTCAGGAAAGTTGAATAAAAGCTTTGAAAGTTTTATTTGGGCTTCTTATATCCACCTGGTGTGCTAGCGTTACTCTTACGTTTACGATCCACCGAAGTTGAAATCTTTGAATCACTTTTCTTACTGGTGGTGGTTGATGTTGACGACTGTAATTAAAAAAGAAAAATGAAATGGAAAGAACATAATATGTATACGCAGAAATATATAAAATCTGATAATCTTCGGTCAATTAACAAAACAAAAATCTGGGAGTACTGGACAGCTGTTTCATCCTAGTTTGGGACTCTTCATCAGTACGCACCCACCGCCAGGGTTCGAACCCAGGAACTCCCGGTTACAAGGCGAGCTCGTATACCATTAAGCCGCTGGGACCCGATCTAATACTTACTTTACTTTACTTCGGCTATCTCCTACGGGAGGATGAGCCAGCTTCATGAACCATGAAGTTTCATGGGAACTGGGTACGAGTGATGTCCCCAGCATCGCTCGGCCTTTTGTTTGAGAGTGCAGCTCTAGCCTTTACACAACCAAGTGTGACCTACAAGGCAGTAGGAGTGGAGTAGGGAGTCCATTATCCATTGGCAGCTGGTGACCGGAGTCCGGTTCATTCGCCTTTTTGAATGGGGCCAGTCATCCAGGGCATCCATAAGCCCTTTGTCCATACGTCTGCCGGTGAGCTTCATACGCCAGTCGTTGGAGGTTTGGAATCAGGGTTTAGCCATCTCCCCTAGACTGTCATCCAATGGACAGTCAACCCGGTGAAGAGCGCCGGGCATCCGCTTTTGCCCTCTCACTTTGGTGAAAAACACCTCCGCCACGTGAAGGCAGTGAGTAGGACTTCCTCAGGAGAGGCTATGTAAGACGCCCGGTCATATGGGAGCATTTCAAGAAGTGTACGGAGGGGTGGCCAACCCGCAGCGCAAGACACCCCATCTAATAGCCCATGAATTATAACTTCTGCCAATTCATGACATAGCGCGACCCCTAGCCAATGTCTTCGGCGAGTATTTGTCCTCACACCCGACCAGCTGCACCCTACTGGTCACGAGTTCTCACTAGAACCCCAGGTAACAACCTACCTGAATAGGGCAAGTCAGAAGACACTGGCTAGGGGTCGCGCTATGTTGTGAATTGGCAGAAGTTAGAATTTATGGGTCACTGGGTCGGGTCCCAGTGGCTTAATGGTATACGAGCTCGCCTTGTAACCAGAAGGTCCTGGGTTCGAATCCCGGTGGGTGCGTACTGCTGAAGAGTCCCAAACTAGGACGAAACAGCTGTCCAGTACTCCCAGGTTTTCCAATGGTTCTCTAACTAATGTCACCTCATGATGAAATCCTGTACACCAATCAAATCACTACAAACCAACACTTGAAAACAAAAATCGTTGGTCGCATTTTCCATGATAATAATTATCAACATTACCAAGATACAAGTGACACTAAATAGAATCACAAACAGGATTTGAGATCACTGTTTTTTAAAGAAAAAATACAAGAAAGCTAGATATGGCTACATATAGCATTTCATACTACCATCATAAAATAATGTCATCTCCAGCGGTAATATTTCTTAAGATAGGAGAATACAGACAGAAATACTGTTTTGCTGACTAAAATGATTGGCGAAAATAATGTGTCTGAATAAACAAGTAGTTGCTGGCGTTCCTTTGAAAATCAAAAAGAACTAATATTCAAGAAGTTTAGAACACAAAGAAGATAAATTTGGTCGACAACTGTAAGTCTTACGCACACAGCAAAGCTCACTGTTGACGGCAGTGAGCATTGGTGGAGCCAATCAACACCACTATTCACATTGTAACGACAGAAGACAAGGGCCAGGCAACAGATTGCTTATTGAGAAAATGAAGAGATTGTTACATATTTTTATGTAAAGTATCATTCGTTATTATTAGCAATGAAGCAATGTTTTCTGATTGGTCATTTTCTTGTTGAAGGTTATTCTGTCATCTCTTTGCGGCCGTTCCTTAGAAAGTAAGGGCCATATATCTGCGAATCGTATTTGCACACGTTAAGTCTGCTGTGATTCGTTGGTGAGTTCCTCAAAGTTAAGCTGTGTTATTGTTTTTCCTCATGACCCCGATTCGAGGCGTAGACATTGACGTAAATTCTTGTCTACAATTTTGGCTAGCAGACAGCTTTCACCACAACATTACAATATCGTTTCAGCAATACATAAGCGAAATGTAGCCTTTTGTGACCTTTTTTGCCTTGCTGACACATCACTGCCAGTGAAATATTTAATAGGTAGTTTAGTAACATGAAAAATCAGCAACATGCAATTTCCAAGAGTAATTGTCATTAAAAAAAGGCTAAATCCTCTCAAAGCAACTCACATTATTTTTAGATGGGACGCTGGTAAAGAAGCTATCTATCCGACCTTGAGTAGTAGTATTTTTCGCTTTTAATAACTTCCTGGCACCATTACGTATGCGCTCTTCACTTTCCATATTCAAATAAAAGTAAACATAAAATAAATAACAAACAAACTGTTCATACATGATTATGTGGGAAATTTAAATTTAATACACTTACAACAAAAATTATTTTTGATATATGGTTGGGGGGGTGTTTTCTTTACGAAGCAGAGACAATAGGCTAAAGAAAGCCATTTCGCTAAAACAAGCTCAATTCTGAAATTTGACTAGCACAGACACCTAATAAATGTAATACAAGAAGTCACTTATAAATCAAAATATACTTAGTAATAATATTACCAATATTTTAATTGGAATTATTTGATAAAACAGTTTTGTACAGTGTTCATTTCTTGAAAAAATACATGTCCCAACAAATGGCCGATAAACACATATTGAAAGCTGTCCTTGTTGTGAGAAAAAACTATTATTACAAATAACTGGCACCCAACTAACTGTGATAACGAATATGTGTCACGCTAAAATCATAACAATTTCACTGGAATACTAGAATTTCATGATACAGAATTTGTTAGATTTAAGTGAGTAGTGAATACTTTTATTTACTAATTGAAGGTATACCGAGTGATCCACTTTCACTCGACAAACAATCTCAGTTAAATTTGTATTAGGTTTGAAAGGCTAAACAGTGAACTAACCAAACTACAACATAAGTTTAAGAAAATCTGGTTGTACTGAAACGCAAAGAGAAGTGAAAATTCCTTCAGTAGAGTTCTTTGGACATCAGAAATCAGTAGTTGGAATCTGCAATCTGTCTGTATTCGACATAGAACTTTGCACAAATGTGCGACATATGTTCAAGTCGCCACACTCCGTGTAGCACGCGAAGCCAGCAACAGAAGAAAGTACAAGAAAAGCTTAGTAGAAACAGTGAGCAGAGGTGTGAGACAAAGGAAGAGTAATAAAGAAAAACAAAACAGTTTCATTGGAGATCATAAGTCACAAGGAGTGGATGCATCTGCGCTAGCCACTGAGAACGATTTTGAGCCATGTCACCAATTGTTTCCAACCATTGGTTTTTACCGTCCCGAGGACCCCAACCGGTCAGGAAGTCTACACCTTCCTACGTGGCTTATACTAACTGTTGTAGATTTCATTGACTGGTGCCATGTTTTTGTTTGACCTCCGCTAGCTCTTTTCCAGCCTGACCCTATATCAGCTAACATTGCCCGTCAGTCGAGGAAGGCGATGACTAGTCAGGGATGTGTAACACATGTCCTAACCATCTCAGTCTTTGTAACTTTACAACTTCGTCGATTGATTTCCCCTGTTTACCTAGAACTCGACGCCTAACCTCAATATTGCTCACCTTATTATGCCACTTCACACGGGAGATAGAACGCAGGCACCTATGATCAAAGACAGCTAGTCTTTTCAAAACCTACAAACTCATTCAGGGGCAAGCTGTGTAGGTTAAAGGACCCAGTTGAACCAATTAGACAAAATTATATAATTTAAAAAATACCCTGCAATGACTGTGAGTTAGGTCAACTACATAGGTCAAACTAGTAGGTTAGGGCTGGTAGAGTGCCTTAATCAGTGCAATGTATTTTCTCGACATTCCCTTTACTGCCAAACATCTCCAGATAACCTCCCGGTCGACAGAATCGACTCCCGCCTTTAGGTCGAGAAATATAATGATTGTTGGACGCCGGTAGGAATGCCTATGTTCTAGAATCTGCAATGGAGGCCTATAGGCAGCATTTCTTCAAAATCCTGAGAATTTTCACCGGTATTCTTCCTCATTACAGTCATATTCGTACTGGCTAACAAACGAAAGTAGTCATTTGTACAAACATGCACCAGTTTAAATTGCCACACCTTGATAATGATACTAAAGGCATACACAAGACGAAATAATGCATTCAGTGCCAATGCATCCCGAGGGTAAGAAATGAAAAAACCCGCGTAATTGTGAAGGATTTTTCAGCTATTTTATCAAGACTTCAGCCGGTTATTCTTGGTATCTAGAGGATTGCATGCGTACAGTAGTAAAATTCTACTTTTGTTCACTTCATTATGTAGTGCTTCGAAGAAAAAGGTGATGCACTGCTTTACAAGGTTGCTCATCTATTCTATGACCAACCATTAAAGAAAGTTTACAACAGACTCAGCTAAGAAAGCCAAATTAATCGTTTATTTTGGTTTTTTCAATGACAAGTCTCTTCGATCATTTTTTTGCACTCTCACATTCTTTGCAAAATAAAAAACATTGGTATTAGTATATACAAATTTTCCCAAGATCAAACTGGTCAGTATGAAGAATGATCACTAGCCGGATATTAAACAACTAATTCCTTATCATTCGATTTCTTTATCACTGGAGCTTTTATACTTTAGGTGAATGTTCCACAGGCTAATTACTTCGATGACTGGGGAATCGTAGTCACAACAACAAAGTTAGAAAATGACAATAACAAGTTGAATAAGAAATGAGTACTACTAAAGTAGACAGAAGGATATTTATTAGATTCATTACATGTTGAAACAATATAGGTAAAGGAAATTACAGAGAGAAACAGAGCTAAAGGTAAAGACAGGAGAAGATTAAGATAGAGATGATGCTTTCTGAACTTGTGTTTGGTAACAGCGTCTTTAATATCAGCTTAAGCATTATTATAGTTTCTAAAATAATTGGGTTGACATTTGTAAAAATTATATTTGTTAGATGTCAGGGAAATTGAAATGTGTAATTCCAACGTGTCGTACGGTGAATTGGTCCGAACTTCTTCAGGAAAGTTGATTGAAATTAACACAACAGAGGTTTATTTATAAAAGGACATCTCTTGTCATCACCTGATGAGTTAGAAATACATTTCTACTTTTTCTGGTCTTACACTTATCCTAAGAATACCACGTAATATTCACGTATAGCAATATTAATTGATAAAGTAATCACAAAACCCAGTCAGTCACTAAAACTGATAATACTTTTAAAAGAAGAAAAAATATGATTTTTCACGAACTTACTTAAATCCGTGTTTATGACAGAGAAATTCTACTAAACCTTCTTCGTTTGGCTCATTCCACTTCAGCTTAACAAGAAGAACAAAAATCAAGAACGTTTTAACTATAAAAATGAATTCCCTATGAATAATGAGATTTGTCCCTCACTAGCCAACCCCATTATATCTTTAAGCATAAAGTGTGGAGTGGGAAAAAATACATGATATAAATACATAAATATAAACAACCATATGCACTACACACACACACACCCTACGCTAAGTCTGTTAAGAAAATCATTCAAAATTATAGCAAGTAGATAACAACATATACATTTTATAAGAATATGTTATATTTCAGTCTGTTTCTTTGTCAAACTGTGAATAGTTTATCATCAGTTAATTACATTAAAAAATACCATTTATCAATGGCCATGACGTTCATATGCATGTTTCTGACAGACATTCATTAAATATACTACTCCGAATTCCACTTTGTCTTTTTATCAGCGATTCTTATTTTCAACAGTAAGTTAGATGCATATAAAAGAGCTAAAATCTAAAATGAAAATCGAATAGTGCACCATTACAAGGCAAACAAAAACTCTTGTCTACTTCTTTCTTGCAGCAGACAAATACAAAGCTTCCAACTGAACAGTTGCAACACAAAATCAACTATCTGCAACTACATTTATGTCGGCCGATCCAATAAACTAATATATATATATATATATATATATATATATATATATATATATATATATATATATATATATATATATATATACGTTGGAAAATGTATTGCCAAACGATAAAGTGTGGTAAACAGATTGTGCAGACTAAATAAGAATGAATAACCTATCTAAACTTATTACAACTACTGTGACACAATTAAATGTTCAAATAAATAAGTTGATTCATTTATAATATACCTCAATCGTTGCAGGATCTGTAACTTCAGGATTCAAAAAAAGCTTTTTTGCCTCTTCATACGGCCAATCATCTGGAACGGGATATTTAGACTTGTCGATATTTTTTAAAACACAATCGATTGACTGGTGCTTATGCAACAAATCTAAAGCTTTCTTTGGACCGATTCCACGTATTGTATCAACATAGTCACAACCCAGTAAAATACATAAATCTATGAACTGATCCATAGTTAAACCAAGGCCGTCAAGGACTGAAGCCAAATTAAATTCTTGTATGGCCATTTTTCTGCATAAGAAAAGTAGTGTTAATTTGATGAACAAAAATTTATTAGTATGTTTTCGAATTAAAATTTACTACATGTTTCAGGAGCTGAAGCTCAATACGTCTACTAAAACATCACCTCTAACAGACGCAGTAAGATTCAGAAACACGAAAATATCACTTTCGTGTTGTGCACTCATAGAAGTAAAATTTGCTTTACAACAGGATATCGAGCTCAAGTTTTCATTGTAGTATACATGAAAGGAAAGAAAATGAACACATGAAATTACAAACATGATGACAATGTAGTGCAATGCCTCACCGATTTCAATTTCTTTAGACTATATTAATTCGCTCTGATTTTTGAAGACCGCTATGTAATCATGAACATATTAGCTAAGGTGAAAAATGTTTCCCTCAGCTTTCTATGAAGTAGACATATGAAGTGAAAAACTGTGATTATTTCCTACATGAATAGATAGACACACCATGAGTGCTTACGCTACCTTGTCGTGTCTTAGTAAGAATACTAGCACTCACAGGAGAGATGGTGCACCTATTTCGAAGTGGTGGGAAACAAAAATCTTGGAAGTTATATCAATATGACTTCCTATGTGACCTATGCAACTTTGCGGAAAATAAACTTCGGTCAATCGTTAAATTCTGAGATAAGCTAATGGGTAACAGATTACCCTTTAAGATCTACTAAAATGACACAGGTTTTAAAAGATAAACATATCCTGTGCGTGATTTCCGGTATAAAGGGTTGAAAATGTTTGGCAATAACTTAACCCGTTATGCGAAAAAGTGCGCTTCTAAACAACACTAGGCCATTTCATTTTTCAGCCTTATGGTAGATTGCGAATATTCTAAGACAAATATGCCGATTAACATTTTGGAAATAGGCATAAACACGGTTGAAAGTTTTCGACAATTAATTCAGTGTGCGTCGGTGGCACAGTGGTTAGGACTCTCGCCAACCATGCACATGGTCCGACGCACACCCGACATCTATGGTCGGCCTGCGAAATTTGGGCTACCGATATCCATGCTGTAAATTCCATACTTGTACCAAAAATACAGTGTGGAATCAAGCTGTAATCAAAAGCTCAAAAAACTTAAAACTTAAGATGGATTGATTTTCACTACTAATCCCAACCTTCTACACTAATGAAAGACGAAAATCTTAGCAGTAACTGAAGGCCTGCCACACTTCGAGGTAGCCCATTTCGATGTGATTTGTGATGGCAAAAATTGGTTTGTGGTTATCCAGTTAATTATGCCTTCGTACATTCGACTTTCGTACACAGCTCAAATTTCAACTGCTAAAGCAATACTCATACTTGTTGGAAATACTGACGTCGTGCGTTATGAAAGCAATGATATCAGTCAGATTATTGAACTTTAAAACGTGAAGCAATTGTGTTGAAAGAAAACATCTAGGTTGGTCGGTCGCTTGAGTCTGTTACCTTAGAATAAACAGGAACAAAGCTAAGCACATTATAAAGATCAATACATAGTTGTTTTGAAACTAATGGGGAAATGTCACAGTTTGTTTTAAGTCATACATGCTATTTTAAGCTATCTATTTCGTGACACCAGGTGGAACTTATTGAATAATAATTTACTTCATTACAATTAGTTTGACATCTGTGAAAGTGAAGTTGGAAATTTCAAAGTGGCAAATGTCTATACACAAAGAGTTTATACAACAAATTTTAGGCTGGGAGGCAAACAATTTTGAGTGACTCAAATATGTAGAGATTTAAAAGCAAAAACTTACCTAGCCTCACTGAATGTTAAGTGACGGAGAAGTACGGGAGTACCGAATGCTAACGCATCCATATCTTCGGTACCGACAGCATAGACTTTTCCTGATTTCGCCAATGCTGCACACTGAGCTTCTGCTTCACCGGGTGCCTGAAATAACCGGATTATTACGTAAACACGTACGTAAACACAAACAGTACAGTTATGTGGAATTTCGAATTGGTGAAATTCAAAAATGTGTAATGATTAGTTCGAAGAATTTCGATTCTAAGACAAAAGAGAAAAAAGTTGACTTTCTAACGGAAAGTATAACTGAAAGGTTAATACTGCACTGAATCTAGTGCTAAACAGCAATCATCTCACTTTGTAAAGTCGTTTAACTGATTGACTTTAGACGTAAAGAAGGTATCACTACAGCAAATAATATTATTAACAAACCCCAGTTCTGCTTATGAGTCTGTATCAAGAAGACAGATGCCAGAACCTATACTGCCATATTGGCTGAATAACGGTTTACTGTTTTCGTGTGGTGAGTTTTTGCACAAAAGTTGGCGGAGGAGTGTCAATTCCCAGAGTAAATTTGTGCGATGAAGCCTGGCAAATGAGAAAATTGACTCCAAACCAATGATATATCAACCCTTAAAGGGATTTATTCCCGTCAATTGAGAATGAAATCTTTAAAACTGTTTTGATTTTGAGTGGCGAAGAAGCGTCTTAGAGACAACAGCAATAATGATACAACACTTCAGTGACTTCCAAGAGTTCACAACTTCCTAATATTCATCTAATATATTTGTAAACGGATTCAGAGAATTTTATGTATGAACTCCATTGCCATGTTATCATTTTTGATTTCACCATTATCTTTATTCCATTGGTTAGGGCACTGTCTCAAATCAAATCTTGATACCAATCCATGGAATCACCATATCTTCATTGTAATTCCATTGTCTACTCTTTTAGTGTAAAGTTTAAAAATCGGTAAGTCAGTTTCAGGATGCCAAGTAAAGACATTAGTACGAACTTCTTTTATTGTGTGCTTTAGGGAAGCTATGCAAAGAAACAAATGCCTTCCTAAATGCAACTAGTTACGAATATGTATCTATTTAAAGCTACTCTCAAACCTTTTTCTTGATTTGTTTGTATTTTGATCATATTATAATATGCGCTAGGCGAAACCCAGTAGATATTGGAAATTTGACTAACCAAGCAAAAGGGGTAACGCCTACATCAGCAGAAGCATTCAATTACATTAAATCATTTTTGTATAATTGTGCATGAAATTAAAGGCAAGACAGCTACAGCACTTCACTAAACATTTGAGGATATTTGGCTACCATGACAGAAAAGGAGACAGTGATAATAAATCGGGTAGATTATCTTGATAAAATGCTGGGCATACTTCTAGATGAAAGCGAACTTCATAACACGAAAAGTGAGATTATATTAGAGACAAATGAAAACAGATCCTGCAGCTTCTTCAGCGAATAAAGAATGTTGCGGTATTCTCATTAGTTATGTGAGAAGTTGAAGCTTTCTGAATACATAATATACTCTCGATTATTACTTTTTTATCATAGCTTGATTCCATACCGTATTTTGGTACAAGTATGGAATTTTCAGCATATAATGTCGGTAGCCCAAATTTCGCAAGCCGACCATTGATATCAGGTGTGCGTTGGCAGAAGATCGAACCCGGGACCATGTGCATGGTCAGCGAGAGTCCCAACGGCTGTGCCACCAACGCACATGACAGGTCAGCCCCATCATTATTTCGCCTAGTGGATACTAGAGCTCTCTGAACCACCAAGCTCAATATGCGGTAGCATATCGCGTAGTACGTTTGAAATCATTATGTCCATTAGAAAAATTTAGATAACCAAGGAAATTTTCACTAAATATATGCTGGTTGTTTACTAATGTTCCGTTTAATGAAACTGTACTTTACACTTGCGATTATGTAGACTTACATTAATAACTGACGAACCGAGGAAACTGCACTATACTCAAGTTGTTCAGTGAATCATATCTACCGATATAAAAGGACACTAAGGCAATAGATTGCTTCGATGCGAAACACGAATAAATGCTAATACAAAATATGCTTTATGGCCAGTTTGGAGAGTGGAGTTTTAAAATCGACAATAAACAAATTATTACTATACAAAAGGTAAGTTGACGATACCTTTATAGTCTGCTACGATACCTCGGACCTCAACTGCATCTTACAAGAATTTAATAATTCCCATCCTTCGATTAAATTCACAATGGAATTAGAAAACGACTCAAAGACTCCACTTCTGGACGTGGAATTAACAAGGGATGATGGAACCCTGAAGAGGTCCATCCACAGAAAACCGACATGGAACGGCCAACTAACGCATTTCTATAGTTGGATACCTTTGAACCGAAAACGAGCTCTCATCAGCGCACTAACTCATCGCATTAGAAAAATCTGCGGCAACGATTGCATGGAAGAGGAGCTCCTATTCCTCAAAAATATCCTGGCCCAAAATGGCTACCCGACACGTTTTGTCGAAAAGAACATGAAACCTAAACCGAAAAGAGAAGAATGCAATTCAGCGCCAAAGAAAACGCTGTATCTAAGTCTGAATTTCAAGGGAGATTTGGCAGCTGATATCCTGAAGAGGAGAATATCCAGCTCTTCAAAGAAGACTTTCCCACAAGTAGCAACACTAAGAGTGACATTCTCTAGCCGTCCAGTACTTCGAAACGACACGAAGGACAAACTCTCACATATGACCAATTCAATGTGCATATATCACCTGCTCGTGCGGAGCTAGGTGCATAGGTCACTGTGTGCGCGTCCTTTCAAAACGCGTTAGAGAACATTACCCAGAGAGGCTGCAAAGAGGAGGAACCGGTTCAATAAGAAGTGCCATTATTGAACATCTGATCAATACCTCCCACAAAATCTCAACTGATTCTTTCAAAATGATTTACAAAGTCTACAAAAGCCTACCAAAGGTAGTATGTTTTCGACTTCTTTGTACTGCAGAAGCCCTCGCAATATGCATCGAGAAGCCGGAGCTGTGAGTTCAAAAGAAATTAGTCCAACATCTACAGCTACCATGGACCCTGTTTGGTATGTTCCCTTTGCTTCCGTTGTTTTCTTCTTCGTCCTTTTTTCGTTCTCTCTTTTTTTGAGCATGTTTTCGTTCGCGGTGTGTTTGATCCTCAGTCTCTCAGTCTTCAATTAGATTCACCAAAGTTTTTCAAACTTCCATATCAAGTTGAAAATTATCAACTTCGCTACTTTGTGGAATTACACAATGGATTTCAACACACGACTTAAGACTTTGTAACGGTAATATTCATTATGCACTCTGATGGATGAATTCCCGTCCACATCTAACTTCAGTGGTAAGAAGAAAAGTCTATATAAACATATACCGATTATAAGTTAATCAGGTAATATTTTAGGGTCACAGATAGATGAAGATAGATGTGCGGATAAATGGATAACGTTCAAAGTTTCAGACAAAGTGTGTGCAAGTAATTAGGATGAATATATGACGAAAAATGGTAGCACCAAATGATATAGCAAAAATGTTCGATGTCGCAGAAAATCACTCAGACTACATTTTTTTCCTTCACGTTCCCCAGTGGAACATAGGGCTTCAAGCTAGTGGCTTGAAGTTTCTGTATTAATGTTTATTTTACAGGATGGGGTTTCTAGCCTCAGACCCAACCTTTCCTCTTCACCAGCAATGTTTCCGGCTTAGCGAGGTAAAGGAGCAAACGAGTGCGTCGGACGGGGATCGAACCCCGGACCATGCGCATGATCGGCGAGCGTCTAAACCGCTACGCCACCGACTACATAGATGAAGGCAATTAGACGAAGTATAAAAAATATAGAAAAATGCATAAACAAAGACAGGAACAGTGTTAAATTTTCTGGTCAAAATGGATTCAAACCCTTTAACAAATGCGAACGCTATCAATGATTCTCAACGAGCAATATCACAAAAGGTACTGGAGTAGGGAATTAAGTGACTGTGGATGATCTTGACAATTTGGGGCATAGCTACTAACATAAAGCACCGATTCGAGACAAGCTAATAAGATTAAACCATGCCATAATCTTAATTCTACAAACATTCCAGCTAGCAGTGGGAATTTCAGCAACAGTTCACAAATCCTAATTTGAATAATGGACAATCATTAGGAAAATTTTCCATAGAGTATCTGAAAAAAGCAACCAAAAGTTACCATGAGATTAACTAACTTCTCATAAATCCTTGAAAGAAACTACATCATAGCCCCTGCACTTGATTTAATGAAAATCGAAGTAGCGATTCTATACTATAAGTGATAAGCATCTGAGCTAACAATCTTCTCCATCTGTCTGTCTGTCTGGATTCAACATAGAACTTGGCACCGAAGTGCAGCAGTTCGAGTTGCCACGACCGAAAGCTGCTACCTTGACGTGGTGGTCGGGCTTGAACACCGCAATGACCTAATCAAGCTATACTGGCTGAGACTTATGTCTCTTGAGCTTCTACCATGCCAGGCAGGTTGTTTGAAAAGCGGTTAAACAAAAAGCAGCTACCTCATCCAATACCATGATCCAAACAAATTCACAAAATTTCATGCCGGATCGGCCGTGGCCCGGATTAACAACGACCGCGCTTCCTGCTGCCGTGTCACAGGGCGGGAGTGATAAGTATGCTACTGAGGCACACAAAACAACAAAGAACGAACAAAAACAGGCCGAGTGTGACCGGCCACAAGCAGTTGTCCCCTGGGCTCTGCGGTCACGCAACCAACTTCCATGGTGTGGGCAGCCGGGAAGTAACAATCGCCCTCACAATCCAAAACGCACACGAAACCTCTCTAATCCTCACTTATCTTTGTCTTCATCTTCATCTCTATTACCTTGCCTTCCTTCCACTGATGCAACTCCTCTACTTGATGGCTCCTCACTCCCTCTTCACTCTGTGTCCACTAAAAACGACGAAAGCCAAAAAAAAAAAATCTTCTCCATCACTTATAAATGAAGAACAATGATGATAATGTAGAAGATAGGTCAGTAAATTCATGATGAAAGGACTCACATTAATAAATGGGACACCCATTAAGGTTAGAAGTTGTCGACAATCTTCATTATGTGCAGGAGTGACTTTGACCAAACGCTTCGAAAATTTTTCAATAGCTTCTAAATCTTCCTCTGCTTCTGCTTTCGCCAATTCTTTAGAAGATTCAACACGTCTCTCCGCGCGTTTTGCTAGTTCTCCAGCTTTCATTGAAGGCGGTTTTCCTTCAAAAACATACACGGGTTTGATTCCGTTTTCAATCATTCTTATTGTCCTGTAGAACATGCCCATTAGATGACTAGATGAAAATTAAAAGAAATTAGATTCTTGATATAAGTATAAAACTTGGGCACTATGGTAGAGTATAACTCCATTATGGATAAGACTTTATTTTGATAAATCACAGTGTTGTACAGTAATATTAACTGATGACGTTTCGAGCACTAACTTGATATGATTATGACCAATAGTTTGTGTTTGAAACGTCATCAGTTAATATTACTGTACAACACTGATTTATCATAATAAAACATTAGATTCTGTAGGTAAGCGAAAACAAACCTTACATATAACGGTGAAAATTATACCAATATGCTAAGGGTTGACTTTGAATTATCAAAAACAACTTGGCAACAAGTGGCGAATAAATACAAAAGATGTAACGAAACACTTGACATATAGTCAATTGAGCAAATAGTCTGTAATCGACCAGAAGAACAGGGACTTATGTCTTTAAGACGTTTAAGAGTAGTGATCAATTTTTAATTAAGCTAAAAACGTTGTGCACGGAAATCTAAGGTAGTCCTATCAGGCTAATGCAGACCGTTCACTATCCAACACTACAGAGCGACAAATGTTCCTTTGATAGCCACTTGAATTCGCATGACTTATGTATTGTCCGGAATCTAAAAGTTCACAGTAATACAAAGACTAAGTGGGACTGAAATTAAACAAACTCGAGAAAAGCAGACAAGTTGGATACTCACACAATGATGTACTGATTTGATCATATACAAGACATCCTAGAAGACAGGTAAACACACTGATAGAGCCAGGCAATGTAAACTAAGATAAGGTTACAAAACTTCATCGATTCAAGAGACCAAGATATGTAATAAACATGCCGAACCAACACATTCCCTAACAAATAATGCTAGCTGAACCTAGACTAGATCGAAAAAAGGTTGGAGTAACTACAATGGTAATCTGAAACATATGCAGATAATTAAATTTCCAGGGGTAGAAACAGTGGAACACTTAGATTCGTAGTCAGAGATTCTTGAAGACACGGCTAAAAATCGTCCACAATAACGAATATGTATTCTTTCCTCGTAGTGCACCTTATCATAGTAAGACTGCATACATCAATCGCATGTACCCGGTGATTTTATTAGTCCCTGCAATTACTTCGGAATATGTTCTGCTATCCTGACCTGCTGAATTCGATGGTCCTCCCTTATACGTATGACCACACACATGTAAACTGGTAAATAAAGTGGGATGCTGTGAGTGTTTAGAGGACATAAATCTCTTTTTCTCTACGAAAATGTGCTTAGCTGCATAGTGAGTTCTATTAAGTGCCTTCTTGAGTTCTTGTTTAGTGTTTGTTGACCCATCTTGTGGTGCTGGGTGGGATTATTTGGACATCTGAAAATGGCAAGCAGTCGTTATCCTACTCCACGAATGCTGACATGGTGTTCTGTACTGTATTTTTCGGTTAGCGTTTTGTGTGGCATCTATCAGTGTGTCATAATTAATATGATCAGGAACAAAATTTTATGCTCGAAACGTCATCTGGTAAATTATAGTCTGACTGTATGATATATCTAATAACCAGATTAATATGGAATTACGTTAGAGGTAAATGGAAGTCATTTGTGACAGACCGACAGATTACACACATCGCTAACCGGAAAAATACAGGACAGAATAGCATATAGTTACCATACGTGGAGGATATCGACCGCTTGCCATTTTTAATGTCCTAATAAACTCTGACCCCTCTAAAAATAAAAACATACGTGTTATAATAAAAACATTGACTGCATTGTGCAAGGAAAATACCTGGTAGACTCTCCTTCTGCATTAGTCAGTGTGTTTCCTTCTTGCCTAACGGCGATTAGAAATTGGTATATCGACATTGAGGCATCGATCGCTACCTTCCTTCCTATCAACTTATGATAGAAATTATCAGAAATCCTAACCGAAATATGCTTTCATTTCACAGCTTTTGACCGCTTTTTGTGCATTGTCACCGATTACCTTACTTAGCTGATGAACTCCCATGTCCGGTTGGGACAACGTGTAGCAACCACTTTGTAACACAACTCAAACGACCGAAAGCACCCGAAATCAGCGGGAGGCACCTGAAAATTTAAAACAAACACTAGGCCTTTAAACTCTTGCGAAATCTTAGGTGAGGAACTGAACTGAATTGCTTGTAACATTAAATCCAAATGCGTTTCCAATATGATTACAGTGGACTAGTTCTATGTTTTCAGGTGACTGTCATTATGATTGCGTCACAGGTCACTCTCGTTCCTTCGACGCTTGTTCGATTCCAGTATAATCAAGTTTTACAGTAACTCATTAGTCTCGAAAATGGAATGTTATTTTTGGAGCTACATTTGCTAAGGTTGTTAAAAAAAGGATTGGTATACTCTGCTGTCGGAGTCCAAAGAAATTCATGAATCCAACGACACTTAAGACTCCTCATTCACAAATAGAAATTTCGTCATCTCTGCCACAAGTGTTTAGAAGAAGACGACATCATCAGCAAGTTATGTCTAATGGCATCTTTGAGTTGAGTAGGTGCATTTCCGTAAATATTCAATATTATGTATTCCTAAGTGGATCTCTGGAAAGATTCATCTTTAATATTCCCACGAGTTTACTTGAGCACTATCAGAGTGAGCTGGTCCGTGGATTTATTAAGATGTTGTTATGTCAGAATACCTGTCTGCAATTTTACTGCTTAGCTGTCAGCGGAAAGACTAATGATAAATACAAAATGCAAATGGTGGGAAAAGTAAGTCAATCAGTGGATGCCTTAAGATTGAAGGCATTTTGAGCTGCGGATTTCCTTGCTGGAAATGTAACTTGAATGACTGCATGATGCCAAGTATTTGCGTTTCACGAAGGATTCTGAGATCGTCAACTGGTTTTCCGTAGGCGAAACGGAAGTCTAAGAATTTAATGTGGCCAGCTGTTCTAAAGAAAGCAGATCTAAGTCGCACAGTTAACTGACAGCGAGTTCCGCATCGTTCTGTACTAGAAGCTGGGCTTCTGCTCTTACAGCGCTAGGGGAACATCACATTTGTAGCGTCTCGGCAATACCCAAGAACAAATAAAGGACAAGCGTGAAGTGCTGGTTGAATTTAAAGTGGACCACTTAACTGTTATGGTCTGTACATTGTGTTGAACTGGCTTGAGGTTCACTCAATAAGGGATTGCAGAATTGAGAATAGAGACAGAAAGCTTCATCAGTTAAGCAAATACTTGTCCTTACCCCTCGAAGGGGCTTCACATCCTCATGAGCTGTACTGTGCAATAAATAATGTTCACTCCGTTTTGTTAAGTTTGTCTAATTCGCTTGTTTAATGGCGTGCTTCAAAAATGCGAAAGGTAATTCTTAAAATTTTAACGTTGCGTCAAATTTGTTCTATATGCGAATGTAAATGAAGGCAATGACCACGAAATCCAAGGTTAGTAAGCGTGTTAATATGGGTTTTAAAAACCGATGGGTAGAAACCGAAAATAACCAACCATTTACCGTCGGAGGAGAATGTTGATTTTCTAGTCATTTCCTGGCATTTTGTTGACTTTTAAGCCTCAGAACCACCAACGCCGACGCCGTCACTTCTTGTTTTTTCCGAGAAACGAGTGGAAGCATATAAATAAAAAAGGTTTCGGTAACGGCTGTTGTATCGAATTTAAATGTCTGTGAGTCTTAGTTCCAGCCAATAAGGTTTAAGGCACAACACTATTTCTTTTTCACAACCTCCAAGGTTCAATGTAAAGTGGCACAGTCCTATGCGTGGGAAGAGTGAAGCAGGACGCAAAGAGTCCATAAATTCCTAAATCAAAAGGAGCTTCACCAGGAGATTTCAATTTTATCTATGTGGTAAGTCAAGGAAAATCTTTTTCGAGAGACAAAATGAAAGGCGATTACCGACAACGGTCAGACATAGGCGATGCTGAGAGAAGACAACAGAACATATATTATGAAAACCATGGGCTGAAGCATTGCATGCAAGATTTGTTGACGCCCAGCATTAAGGTTCGAATTCTGATATATGGAGGAATTCAGGCTAAGGCCATTTGAGGGAGACGCTAACTTCATTTACCAGTCTGTTCGTTTTATGACGGTTGTCAATCACGTCTCATAAACCGTTAATGACCAGCTCTCGCTACGCTCGGGCCCACGCTGTTCTTCGAAGATTTCTCAGAAACGCTTAGTTATAACGGACGCAAAAACCAAAACACTGATCTGCCGCTTTAGATTTGTTTATTGTTACACCAACATATAAAAGGAATAAGCGAACTAAGGTCTGAAAACAAATATTACAATAATAAATCATTGTATTACTTCTGACGATGTTTCACTCTTCTTTCTGAACAGCGACCGATGAGACGATGACTGTCGTATTGATGCCTCCGCGAAAATTGGGGAAGTTGATTTTGAACAAACAACCAAGAATTGATCGTTCAATCTTCAACTCCATTGACAAAGGCAGTTAACAATGTTATTTCGATAGAAATCTATGCATTTCAACTAACTGCATATGGCAAATGTTGTAAGATGATTTAACAATAATTTCAAAGGGTCTAACATCCATCATGAGTTGATCTAAGAATGCCACTAATCAACCAGCTTGCGTATTCAGAACTTAAGAGTCAAAGTGACTACTGACGAAACATGAAAGACAACATTGCAAAGTGTAGATTCCTGTCTGACTGCAGTGTGAATTTATAATGAAGAGTGTTCGCTTGCATTCGACAATCACTGCAGTATCTATCACCAAGTATTGATTGCCTTATTTTCCTATATCAAGCTTGACTATAGAAAGGCATCAGTTAGAGAACCATTGGGAAACCAAGTTGGACTACCGGAGGCCTATTTACTTCTAGCTCGAGACTCATCATCAGCGTACATCCACACCACGGGGTTTGAACACCTGACCTTCGGGTTACAAGATATGCTCTTACATAATTCATTCAGACACTGGAGCCTAATTCAATGACTCATGAATTCTAACACTTTAACTGATTCGCAATATTAATAATAATAATATATATTCTCATTTTTTACATGAGGGACGCCAGTTTACAGGCATCATCAATTCGATAATTTACACATAATATTAATAAGCATATTTAGTAAAGATAATATAATAAAGTACATTTTTTCCCCTAGCTATTTAGGGTACACCAATTGTATAGGCATGCATAAATATTGTTTTAATAATAATAATATATTCCTTCCTGTTTATGCAGGAACATACCTATTGTACAGGCATGGATAAGTTATTATATAAATTACACGTAATTTGATGTATAATGGACTTACAGTTTGGTTGTTCTTTCTGACATTAGGGTCAGTCGGAACAGTCTGCTATAAAGTCTGTTTGTGTAGCACATAACGAGATATAGAAATATTGTCTTCGCATTAACAAAAAACCCAGACATCACATGAATGTAATACAAATATCTGGGAAAAATAAAGCTTGAAGTCAATTATCCTATATAACGCTGTTCTTCGAAGATTTCTCAGAAACGCTTAGTTATAACGGACGCAAAAACCAAAACACCGATCTCCTGCTTGTTATTTCTTTATTGTTGCACCAACATATAAAAGGAATAAGCGAACTAAGGTCTGAAAACAAATATTACAATAATAAATCTCTGTATTACTTCTGACGATGTTTCACTCTTCTTTCTGAACAGCGACCGATGAGACGATGACTGTCGTATTGATGCCTCCGCGAAAATCGGGGAAGTTGATTTTGAGCAAACAACCAAGAATTGATCGTTCAATCTTCAACTCCATTGACACCCCCCGGCAAAATAGGGATCCAACCCTTTTTTCCTTCACGACCAATGCACGTTGACTTGGATGCCATTGCGAGAACCTGGGTCACACGGACAGAGCTGAAATGGAAAACAAACAGAAAAGCCAACACACCACAAGCATACCCACAGCACAATCTCACACATCGCTGACGACCTGCGCCTCCAGACAGAGACCTCCTCTTGACATCTTGCAACACAATCGCCATTTGCTAGAATGACTCTTGCAGAATGCAAAGTGACCATAGCACCAACTCATGATACTCTACGCACATCCTCTTATCTACTCATTACCAATTACCACTGAAATCGCTTGTCACTCATTCTGCCTCAGTTCTAGTAGCGGTGACGCATGCGAGCCTCAGTCGTTTACACTCTTTCTCCCCGGCGTGTCGGACCGCAGCTAACAATTATCTCCGTGTGCGTTTCATTCTCAGCAATAGCCTAGCCTCCCCGGCGTATACGACCCATCTGCTGTCCTTAACATCAATCAATTCATTCACGGATGTAGAAGACAAGAAACAACTTCAGAAGTAATCACGACGAAAATTTTAACAAAATTATGCAATAAAAACAAGGCACGAAAACAACGAGTAAACACAACTGATCCAAAATCACAAATTGCGAAGACACACCACACGTATACACAAACAGTACAAATAACCTCGCCGATCATGTCTTGATGGAATTCCTTTGAAGAATTGCAGGACTTACACCAGTACGCCTGCAACCCTTCACAGGTTGACGATTGTAAGTTGTGGAATGTCCAGACACAAACAAGATTAACCAACAATTACATCAATTGGAACTCACACAACTATTTAACACAAACATATGTACAATCAACACATCAAATGTTGTGGATTCTGACACGACAAACTACCCTTGAAGAACTGTAGGACTTACAGCAGTACGCCTACATTCCTTCTCAGGTTGATGATCCAAGTGGAAGTCGTCCGGACACAAACAGAATTACCAACAGCTAGATGACAGATGATATCAATTCAGTATATACAATATGAACATATGTACAAGATCATACACCAAGCACATTGGACTGCTCATTGATGCGCTACCCTTTGAAGAACTGTAGGACTTACACCAGTACGCCTACAACCCTTCTCAGGTTGACGCTCTAGGTTGGAAAATCGTCGCAGAGTTCATTTGCTAACTTCCTTCTATCAGCTATATCCTCAAATCTGAACGGCAACACGCCCATGTCATTGTATCGTAGAATATAGATGACCAACAAACACACGACATATCTCATCAACCAAGTATAGAAACAGAGTAATTTACACCAAAGA